GCATGTTGATAACGGACCAATAGTTTTATAACACGCACTCAAGTTTTTTTTTTCAAAATTGGGATTTTTTAATCATTTTCTAACCAAAAAATCACTTTGAATTTTGGGAGTCAAAATAGAAAAAAAATCCGATAGGTATGCCAGTTGTGTAGTCCTATTCAGTCTACACCTTGCTGATTTAGAACGTTTTCTCTATCTTCAAAACTGTAGGTTCTTCTCGCAAAATCTTTTTGGGTCCAAAATGCCAGGACATGCCGTCACAATGACGTCATTTTTAGCAGAGTTATCAAATCCTCAAAGTTTTTCCGTTGATAATAAGTGTGAAATTAATTTAAAAGAGGGTACTGGAAGTTTCGCGACGATCGGCGCATTAGCTTTATAGATAATGCGAAAAGACTGAAAATGGGGTAGGATAAAAATAGCTCCAACCCACCATAGCGCGGTTTAACCCTCGCATGTGTAGGGGGGGGTCGGATGGACCCCCCCCCCCCATGGTTTTTCGCGAATAACTCGCGTAAAAAGCGGCCGATCGCGACGAAACTTTCAGTACCCTCGCATTGATTAATTTTACACCTACCCTGAAAATTTCATGACCCTGACCCAAATGACCTTTGACCTGTGACCTCTTTTCCGAGACCATGTTTGGCCGGAATCGCGATTTCGCGTATGTCGGCTCGCATTAGCCGCGTGTTTGCAAGCTTTTCGTAGTTTCAAACGTTCAAACATGTGATTTGATGTTACTCCTGTGTGTGTCAAGGTCACCTGAAGGTCAGGTCAGGTCATTGACCTTTGGTGACCTCGGGTGACCTCGGGTCACTTTTTCGAGTTTTACATGTTTCTAGGCTAGTTTTTGGAGCTGAATTCGAATTTAGCAACCATTTGAACATTTACGAAGTAGTTTTGGTGACTTCGTAACATGTTACGAAGCTGTCAGAGGCGGTTGACACGTACTACGAATACCCGTCACGACGCCTACTGGTTGACCTGACCTGACCTGACCCGACCTGGTCTAAATGCTTCAAGACATCATCTGTGATCAAAACTAACACGATATTCGTGATCAGCACCCCGAAAAACCCCTTAGCAGCCACACTTTACGACTTTCTAACAGGTCCCGATTTTCCCGACTTTGGGTCATTGACCTGACCTGGAAGGTCAACCAATGACCTAGGACCTTAAAATTGGGTATCATCGGCTTCCTCTCGTCACGGGCAGCACGCTCGTTTTTTCCGCGAAGCTCTAGCTCGATCAGGGGCCAAACGGCAAGGGGGGGGGGTTCAACCGACCCCCCCCCCTACACATTAGAAGCTGGCAAACGCCGCACACATGCGAGGGTTAAAATGGCCAACCCACCTCAACATTGCAATTGAGCTGAGATAGCCAAATTCGGGTCCCTGGCTCACAATCACCGCTTTTGGCACTCACAACATCATCAAGTCCCAGTAAACATGTCGACGTCGGCCCGACGTCGGGGTGACGTCGGCATCTCGGCATCGGCATGTCGCCGTCGGCCCGACGTCGGTCCAACCTCGGCACGACGTCGGCTGGATGTCGGATATGCCCGCATGTACCGACGTCCAGCCGAGGTCCAGCCGACGTCGGGCCGACGTCGGGGCGACGTCGGACCGACATCGGCCGCTGTTTTGACCGTTAAAATAATATAAAATACATGTTTCATGAGTTTCATAAAGAGCTTCTGTATTCAAAATATCCTCAGGAAACTCAAATCTTCCTCCACGCCGCAACCCCCTGATCCGGACTGGACGGGAAACTTTATCCTTGCGATTGCCCGTAAGCCGAGCTCGCCCGTAGCCGGGTGCGGTGAGTGCTTGGGGGCTGCGCGGCCTATCCTTTGGTCAGGCTCAGCCCCGGCAACTCACCAGGGCCGGGCCCAGTTCATATAGAAAGGCCAGTCGGCAAGTGTCACTTTGCCAAAGTGCCACTTCTCACAGGGACACTTTGGGAAACGTTGGTGCAGGTGTGTAAGAGTGGCTATATATATATATATATATATATATATATATATATATATATATATATATATATATATATATATATATATATATATTTTTAGTCGGACCTCTCTCCAACGGGCTCTTGTCCCAATTACAGGAGAGAGCACCTGCTCCTCCCGCCGTCCTATTCCCCACCCCCCAGGCTACGGCTGAAGTGGGAGCCTACCCCACACCTGGTGACGCAGCCGGGGACGACGCCCGCGGAACGGGCGGAACCGGGAATCGAACCCGAAACCCGGCACCGCCCGCACCGCGGGTAGACGCCTTAACCGACTGCGCCACCAGGGCCGCTGCACGCCGAATCCGATGGTAATGGCTATATGTGACCCCAAGTCACTGTGCTGGTGATAAGCGTGCATTGAAAGCATAAAAAATCGTTTATACCATAGGGGAAAGTGGGTGTATTGCGCCCTCCTAACCAATTGCGCCCACCCACATTCCCACGAATTCAATGGCATGTTAAGCATTTTGTTTTCGAAAACATTATTTTCACCACTGGATAGTTCCTTTTATGGCCCAAGCTCTCCGATGAAGCCAATCAGCAAGGCTCATTACGCCATCAAAGATATTACGGCGTTTTCTTAAAGGGACCCTCCCACCTTAACATTAGATTTGAGTTGAGATAGCCAAAATGGGGTCCCTGGCTCACAATTACCGGTTTCGGCACTCACAACATCGAGAAATGCCTTAAATCGGAAATATTGAATTTCAAAATTGCAGCATTTTGATTCAGAGGGGCTAATGCTTAGGAATACCCCTCTGAATGTGTGACGTCAGCGCAAATATCTAACGATTTTTAAATGTTTGACTAAAACGTTTTGTAGCACGCGGTGGTATATGCTATTTGCGCGCAACATCTGCCGCAAACGCCGCACTTCTAAAATAAAGTCGCTAGAAACAGCGGAGATCCCAAAAAAGTAAACAAAAGTAAAAGCCTAATATCTTGAAAACCGGTGAATATTTTTCGGTGAAATTTGGTAGATATTCGTTTTCGCTCTTTCTGAACCGAGCGACATCACTTTCATGCCAATTCATAAACTTTTTTGAAGGTGGGAGGGTCCCTTTAACTTTTTGGCAGCATTTTGAACCGTTGGCTATAAAAATAGGCGATACTTGTGTGATTTTGAGAGTGTTTTTTGGAAAGAAAAATCCTTTTTTCATTATATTTCACTGAAACAGTAAACATCCTTTAGTATCTTTATGGTAACTTCTAAGCTTTTATTAAAAAGTACCTCAATTTTAATTGCGCCCATGGCAATTGCGCCAGGGGGGCGCAAATAGAATAATGGTGTAGCTATTGTATCACGACAGTATGAATGCATCATTAACTTATTGCAATAAAGAAGGAGTTTTATGTCAGGCAGGGGAGCAACCCGCCATCGTCAGTCCAAAAATTATTTCTCTCATCGAACTTATAATGTAGCTGCCATTTGGGCTATGAACTTGCGGTGTAATTGACAAAATACGGCATTTTTAACATGGACACAGGCGTGAGAGGTGACAGCTATGATAGAAAGTAAAAACTGATGTCAAAAAAGTTGTAGAAGCAATACAAAATATTAATTTTGAGAGAAACGATTAAAATATAACCGTCTAGGCGCATACGTTCATATATATCTAGTCGGTTACATCAAACGTTTTCGTTCCACTTCACAAGCATACCGGACACAAGTTAAGTTATTTACCTGCGCAAAAAAACATCGCAATTTATATCTACATTTATTATGTATCGAGCTTGATTCACATAATACATGTTCAAGTAAGCCACAATGACATAGAATGCCGGAGTGTATGCTTTCCGTCTCCTTTGCTTAGCCATGTTAAAGGATAGGGCGCAATTGGATTCTAATTGCGCCATCCCCCTGGCGCAATTTACAGCAGTTGTTGGTAAATGCGCCCTTTTGCATGTTTCTGAAAAAGCAGCTGTCAGAAGCAAACGAAACATTCTTAATTGATCGGGAGGCCCTTAAATCGTAGCCAATGAGTTCCTCTTTAAAATGGGTACCAGTGCATGCTTACATCTCAAGTGGTTTTCTTACAATTAGCGTTTTTCCTTAAGGTGGCGCAATTCACCCTCCTTCCAACGAGGGCTAAGAAAAAAGTCAATTTTTAAACTTTTTATTTTTGACATAAAAATGCACTTTTCTAGACGGGCTTTGTCCCAGGAATCTAGTGGTGCCATTTGTTTTCACATGCGATGTTCAGAAGTACCTCTAATTCACGAAAATGCTTATGACGTCACCATGCCCTATGCATGTTGAAGCTATTTTTTACAATTTGGGGGTCAAAAATCAAGATAGAAAGTTGAAATTTGGGGCATCTAATGTTCTAATAGAGCTCTATAACATACATTCCGTTTTTTTAAATTCCCAAAATTTTGAATTTTTTTTAGCTGTTTTCCAAAAAATATAGGTTTTTGAATTTTTAGGGGTGAAAACGCATTTTATGGAAAATCCGAGATAGCCATTTTAAAGAACTCGTTGAGCTGCGTCTATTCATGTTCTTAATTTGCAATTTGCTTCAAATCTCGCTTTTTGGCGATTTTTTAAACATTTACCACTTTTTGACTGAAAACGCCATGTAGTTGCATCACTAAAATCGATATATCTAAAAAAAATGAAAAATTGTGCTTAAAATTTGCACAGGAGACGTCAAATTGATGGGGGAGAAGGTATGCCAAGTTTCAAGTAGATAGCGTAAGCGGTTCATGAGTTATTCAAGAAAAACGGAGGGGGGTCGGATCCGACCCCCCCCCCAGGCGGTCGCGGGTTAACATAGCAGCCACATTGCAATATCTTTTACACTTTCAAATCACCATCATTTTCTATCTCACATCATCCGGCATCACGAATTCCCGTACCGCAAGATCAGCTTTCATTCTGCTCTGCTGTCAGCTCTATGCAAGTATGCATTCAGTGCGCTCTCCGCCGACTGCTGACGTCACGGCTGACAGCCCTGGTCGGTGTGCGGGCGGACGTCACTCACCTGACTGAGCTCCAGCTTCGGCGACAGCGGTCGGCAGGCCAGCGCCACTGCGCGCAGACCCTGGCTCGTGTACCAGTCGAGCACGTCTTGGAACCGCTCCGGCACCGTGGCCGGGTCACATAGGCGCGCCAGCACCTCGGGCGCGCCCTGACAGCACAGACACAGCGTGGAAACGGTCAGAGGTGACAGAGCCCCCCCCCCCCATCCTTACATTCCATCCGCCAGTCCCTCTGTTCTAAATATATTATACCTTTTTCTGCTAATTTGACAAAGTAATTACGTTTCGCATGTTTTCTAGCTCTAACCATGGTGTAGGTACTCGACTGGAACCCCCCCCCCCCCCACACACACACACACACGCACACACACTCACAGCATAGCACCTTCACAGGCCGCTCACCTTCACATAGACATCCAGACCGGCGCCGAACCGGCGGCGCGCCACCACCGTGCAGCGCCGACTGGCGGCCGTGAACGGAAACTGCTTATAGATGGCGACATCGTGATCATAGGTGGCGCCACGGACGCCGGCCTCCACCGGCCGTACGAATCTGGTGACGGGCGCGTCCGGGAAGTCGGAGTCTGAGGTGGCCTCCTGCTCGTGAAGTTCCCAACTCACCGCCTAAAAACGGTAAAAGAGACAGATAAAATTTATCGAAACGGCAGGCAACATTGGAGCATATTCAGTAATTCCAGAGAGTAGAACGAAGAGTCAGTAGGTAGAACTTAGACATCTTGACCTACAAATATAGGCAATAGCGTCTTTGTTAGGCATAGGTAGGCCTGTCTATCTATCAATGGGCCTAGCCTGCTAAAATACTAAAATAGCGTACAATACCGATAACAAAATAAGGCATGGAATGAAGCGTATAAATGGCATTGGTATAAAACGAGGACAGTATGTCCTAATATAAGAGCAAGAAGACATAACCGAGAATCCACGTTGAAGTCTTGACAACATGTTTATTGTAAGTAGTGGTTTACTTGGAAGAGTGGCAGGTCGAGCGGGTCGCCGTGCGGCCGTCCGTCGATGACGGTCAGTCCGTGGCAGGCGGCCAGCACCACCAGCCGCAGGTCGTCGCAGCCGACCTCTGCCAGCTCTGTGAGTGCCTCCGTGAAGCGCGCCGGCCCCTGCGCGGCCCCGTCCGCCGGCTGCGACGACTCGGAGGGCACCAGCGCGCCGAAACCCAGCTCGGATTCTGTCAGCGTGCCCGTCTGCCAGCGCACAGCGGGGTGGCAACGGCACTGTCAGCAGTGTCGGCAGTGAGAGCGCTGTCAGCAGTGTCAGCACTGTCAGCAGTGTCGGCAGTGAGAGCGCTGTCAGCAGTGTCAGCACTGTCAGCAGTTCGGCAGTGTCAGCAATGGTAGTTAGTGCTGATTGATTCATGTTCTGCGCGAATTATGATTATTGTCGATATTCCCAGTTTGTGCGTTTAGTCCGTAAACATTTATTTTACACAACGTCGAAAAAAGAATTATCTATCCCGACCAACATTATAAAATGTCGTTGTAGATTGCACTTCTTCGCACGTGTTAAAAAAAAGATAGGTACATAAAAAATATGTATGAAAAACACGGGTCCCAAGTGCGCGCCAGTAGGTATGTATGTATTCTGCGACGGCCGAGGGTGCCAGCTCTGTACGTTGCCAGATGCCGTTTCCGCTGGGAGAGACGCCGCGTGTTGCACACACAGTATCGGTCCGTGAGTCCGCACTGCGCAGTGCCCTGGGGCCCGACCCCCCGCTGCCGCGCCGTGTGGGAGCCACTGCAGCTGGCTGGCGGGCCCTGGGTCCCCTGCACTCCAAGCGGCCTCAGTTCAAACGGGCAGCCAGGGAGCTCTGGAGGTGGCCCGACAAATAACGCGATTTACATGCCCGGGCCATTTACAAAACGGAATACTACAGTGCATAAAGGCGGTATGCAGTGTTTTGATAATAAATCAATTACAATCATGCGTAAAATTAAAGAAATATAGGACGACGGTAAAACTAGTTTTTCCTAACCACATAAGTCTCCTTATTGCAAACATATTCCGAAAAAGGTTTTCTGAACTCAAACACGTCGTTAAAGTTACGTTGTGCGCGTAAGCATGACCGAAAGCGAGCCGCTATTCAAATTACCTACAACCACGTACGTATGTACTTACATAGGTACATAGCCCTGCGCCCGCTCTTCTCGTGTCATGGTTGGTGTTTTTGTTTTCAATAAAGTTAGGCTGTAATAGGTTCCGGAAATGTGAGGCTTCCTGGATTTTCGAAAGCTGACGCCCTTGTGAATCAAGTGTAGTCATAAAAAGTAGGTACACGAACCGAACAAATCAAGAGATTGCATATTCTATCGAACAATTGAATTCAAACTCAGTAAGAGGAATTGTTCTCATAGTTGATTATGACTGGTATGGTAATTGAAACCAGTGTATCCTTACCTTCGTTGCGTAGCGAAACATTCAAGTAAGGAATAGGACATCGATCACCAGCTGGGCAGTGGGCGCCGTGCAGCCGTGGGCCTACCTTGTCGAAGCAGAAGACGTCCAGGCCGCCGCAGAGGAGGATGTACTTGGAGCAGAGGCAGTAGATGCCGGAGCGTCTCAGGCGGCGCCGCGAGAAGGCGTACAGCGCCGACAGGTTGATGGGCAGCATGGCCGGCACCACGAACGTGATCATGTCCAGGCTGAATAGCACCACCGTGGCCACCGGCGCCTGCCGGAGCACGCCAAACCTCATTGTCTGGTCTGTTAACCCTCGCCCCGCTGGGGGGCAATTTGGCCCCGCCTGTGATTTTTCCTAAAAAGCAAGAAAACGACGGCGCGCAGCGCCGCCAAATTTTCAGTACCTTTCCAGGCATCAATTTGACACTTTCACACCAAATTTCAAGTCTTAGGTCACCTTAGGTCAGGAGTTATTGAGGTCAAACTGAGGTCATGTTCGAGCAAAAATGAGCAAAAAACATGAAATCGTGAAACGCTCACAAAAGCTATAGTTACCAAGCAATTTCAAAGTTCTTTATATGGCCATGTAGACACAAGATAGCGCTACAACACTGCAATCTCGAATTTTCAAAATTTTTGGATTTTGACCCCCGAAATTCAAAAAATTGATTTTTTAGCAACTCAAAAAAATCAAATACCTACATTTTCCGAATTTCGGAAAAACCGGAATATATGTGATAGTTCCTGCACTGTTCTATATACCTACCAAATTTTAGATCGATACCTCCTTTTTTGGCCAAGTTATAGCGAAAAAAAACTTCAAAATTGATGATGTCATATTTTTAAACTCAATTTTTAGCAATTCTAGACCACGTAGCGCAGAACAAAACCACCATTGAACTCCCCGTGACGAGCTGCATCGAAACGATACCCATTTTATGTAAAGATATCAACTTTGAAATTTGACCTAGTTTGACCTGACCTTGACCTGACCTTGACCTGACCTTCACCGAAACATAATATAAACTGACCCTAAAGACTGCCTGACCCACATAATCGTATTTGGTATATAAAATGGACCATAAAACATGGATCACATGATATTTTCATAATGTGAAGCTCAGTGACCTGACCTCTGTGACCCGACCTGGTATCAGTGACCTCAAATAGCAAAATATGTGTTTGACGAACATTTTCCCATCGATGATTTTCAATGAAATGCATTTTACTCGATTTTACAACGCATTTCTATTTTCTTGAAATGCCTGTAAACGGTGAAAATTCGACATTTGACCTGACCTGTGGCGTCATCGGTTTGACCTAGGTCAACGAATTTGGGTCACAAGATAGTTCCCTGATGGGGCTATCCAACACCGTTTACCGCTTGTCGCTATGTTGCGTGGTTCTCGAGATCTTATGGGGGCCAAAGTAGCCCCCCCCCCCCCCCAGCAGGGCGCGTTGGTCGGCAGACCCCAGCGGGGCGCGGGTTAACACTGAGCGGTCAACAGTTCCACTGGCGGAGCACACGGAGCACCCTCACTGCACTGGTCTGGTAAAAGTGAACAGCACTTCTACGGAGCACCCTCACTGCACTGGTCTGGTAAAAGTGAACATAACTTCTACATACGGAGCACGCGAATCTTGACTGCCTCTTCGTTGACATCCACACACACCTGTGCACCGCGGTGATTGCAACGGTTGTTTTCCACTAGCCCACGCCGGCACAGGCCATTTTGCGTCCTTCGACGGCACAAGGGGGGGGGGGGGGTTGGTACGACCCCCCTCGCGTTTGGCCCCTGATCGAGCTAGAGCTTCGCGGAAAAAACGAGCGTGTTGCCCGTCACGAGACGAAGCCGATGATACCCCATTTTAAGGTCCTAGGTCATCGGGTGACCTTCCAGGTCAGGTCAATGACCCGAAAACCGGGAAAATCGGGACCTGATAGAAAGTCGTAAATTGTGGCTGCTGTGTGGTGTTCCGGGCTGCTGATCACGAATATCGTGTTAGTTTTGATCAGAGATGATGTCTTTAAGCATTTAGACCAGGTCGGGTCAGGTCAGGTCAGGTCAACCGGTAGGGGTTGTGACGGGTATTCGTAATACGTGCCAACCGCCTCTGACAGCTTCGTAACATGTTACGAAGGCACCAAAACTACTTCGTAAATGTTCCAATGGTTGCCAAATTCGAATTCAGCTCCAAAAACTAGCCTAGAAACATGTAAAACTAAAAAAAGTGAACCGAGGTCACCCGAGGTCACTAAAGGTCAATGACCTGACCTGACCTTCAGGTGACCTTGACACCCACCCTAATGTATGGGAGCGACATCAAATCACATGTTTGAACGTTTGAAACCACAAAAAGCTTGCAAACGCGCGGCTAATGTTAGCCGACATACGCCGAATCGCGATTTCGGCCAAACATGGTCTCGGAAAAGAGGTCACAGGTCAAAGGTCATTGGGGTCAGGGTCATGAAATTGTAAGGGTAGGTGTAAAATTGATCAATGCGAGGGTACTGAAAGTTTCGTCGCGATCGGCCGCTTTTTACGTGAGTTATTCGCGAAAAACCTTAGGGGGGTTGCATCAACCCCCCGGCCCCCTGTGCCGGCGAGGGCTAGGTATGTGTTGGTTATTCTCAAGAACGACGTATTCCTATGCGCTACAAAAGTGTAGTACCCTATGACATACTTTTTAATTGACCAATTTTTAGTGCCTTAGAGGTGCTAAATTAACCCCGCGCCCCAGTGGCGGTCTCAGCCAACTTCACCATAGTGCATATGTTGGGCATATGTTACCACCCATCTCTAACTCAAAAACTAAGAGGGCTAGAAAGACGCGGTAAAAAGCAGTCGATAGCTCTCCATGCGTAGGTTTGAAGGTATTTCAGTCATTTTTCATCATAGAGCAATATTAGGGTCACCAGAGGTCATCAAAGTTCAAAATTTGTCCAATGTCATGTTTTTCAGAACACATGCCGTTATCTCAGGAACTACAAAGGGTATACTGAAAGTTTCGTCGCGATCGGCCGCTTTTTACGCGAGTTATTCGCGAAAAACCTTAGGGGGGTTGCATCAACCCCCCGGCCCCCTGTGCCGGCGAGGGCTAGGTATGTGTTGGTTATTCTCAAGAACGACGTATTCCTATGCGCTACAAAAGTGAAGTACCCTATGACATACTTTTTAATTGACCAATTTTTAGTGCCTTAGAGGTGCTAAATTAACCCTGCGCCCCAGTGGCGGTCTCAGCCAACTTCACCATAGTGCATATGTTGGGCATATGTTGGGTGTATGATAGCTAGAAAAACGTATGAAAAAGCAATTGATAGCCTTTGAGCTCTTCTTTTGATAAGGTATTATCAAGATTGACGTCAGGTCATCCCATGTCAGGTACTCACATTGTTGACGGTCCAGGCGTAGGCCGAGTAACAGGCCGCCACTATTCCCAGCACCAGACAGCCGAGAACGTACTTCGTAAAGTCGGCGTAAAACTGAAAGTCCACTGGCTTGGGAAACAATACAGAGCGAACCAGGGCTCCTTTCTGTGTATCGAAACCTGGGAACCGGAAACGATTGTTAGCCCACGACCGCCTAAGGGTCTAATCCATTATCCAGTCATCCTATGTTTTCATCAATGACTATGAGCAGTGTAAGCTCGCAACATAAGACTATCATGCCTTTTCTGCACTAAGGTGACATGCTTTGTATAATTTCTATGCAGTCTGATCCGACCTGTTGGCGATATCATATATCAAACCGCGAGTAGGTAGAACAAATCTTTTAAACGTCGAGCCGTAAGGCGAGACGTTTAAAAGATTTTTTTCTACTTACGAGCGTCGAGCGATTTAATTATTTTATCCCGTACCGCCGATATGTTTCGGGCGCTTAACCCTCCCCGGACCTATTGGTTTTCTACATACGCGCCGGCCGAGGGGGGGCGGGTACGACCCCCCCCTTGCCGTTTCGCCCCTGGTGGAGCTAGCGCGTCGCGGAAAAAACGAGCGTGTGCGCCGTTACGAGACGCAGAGATTGGTACCCGATTTTAAGGTCCTAGGTCAACCGGTGACCTCTGAGGTCAGGTCAAGTGCCCCAAGGTATGGTTCAGTTTTTGGTGAATAACTTCGTACAAAACGGCCGCAGAGCGACAAATTTGGCAGCATCGTGTTCGCCTCGCCCAGGCGCGTCGAATGATATACTATTTGTCCGGGTCAGGTCAACTTGGGGTGTTGACCTCAGGTCAAGGTCAGGTCAACACCCCCAGGTCACGAAGTTGGTCGAAAGAGGTCATGTTGCATATCATTCGATTCGGCAGGCCTTCCTGAGTCCATTGGTGGCTTTCCCGACTCGCTAGCTCAATTTGATCAAGAGTTATTGACGAAAAACTAGTATGACCTTGATGACGTCATAAATGACGTCACGCAAGGTCAACATTGCAAAAGTGACGCATCTAACCTTGCAAGGAGTGCATCAAATCACGATTATGTGTGCTTGAGATAGTTGGAGATCGTTCCCGGCGCCAGAATAGCAGTTTTCATTTTTCCCCATTGACTTATAATGGTGAGGTCACGAAAATGACCTGACCTCATATGACCTTTAGGAAAAATCCGAGATATACAACTTGTGGGACTCATAATGGATACCAGATCCTGCAAGTTTCATTTCCCTGTGACATCTCTTCTGGCAGTGAGGGCGTTGCGAAGTTGCGACATCTGAAGACCGTGCAGAGGTTCACTTATGACGTCATAGGTCAGTGACCTGACCTGACCCAAAAATGCGGTTGGCGTCAAAAGATGCGGCTTGGATCAAAGGTCAGGTATGCCAAGTTTCAGCTCTCTATCGCCTGCGTGTTCGGAGCTATCGCGAAAAAACCCTATGGGGGGGGGGCGGCACCCGCCCCCCCCCCCTCGGCCGGCGAGGGTTAACCCTCGCCCTGGCAGGGCATTTTTCATAACACGGCCTGGCAGGGAGGGGGGTCGATGCGACCCCCCCCTCGCGATTGGCTCCTATGGCACCTAGAAACACCAAATTTGGTAGGTAGGTGGGCCCCCTGGAGTTCTCGCCCCTGTGCAAATTTGGTTGCTCTAGGTCAATATTTAGGGGGGTTTTGGGGGTATAAATGTAAAAATTTCGCTAAAAACAGGTCAAAAGTTTTTCGCTTATAACGTTTGATGTAATTAAGATAGAACAAAAAGAAAAGCACCAGTGAACTCAGCACGTCAAGGCGCGTCGAATGATGTACTTTTTAGCTTGCTGAAGTGTACTTGAAGTTTTTCTTAAATGTTAAGTAAACTTAAATTAATAAATTATGTTAAAGTTAACCAAATTGCATCATATCGCATATCATTTGATTCGGCTGATCACCAGGAACACAATGATACCATTTTTTAAGCTCTAGCGTCATTATGTGCCAAGTTATTGGCAAAAACGTCATTTGACCTCAGTTGACCTCATTTGACCTGACCCATGGATAAGTACTCCAAACAAAGAAGCACCAAGTGACCTGCTGTTAAGTACTGTGGTTTCAAAGCACAAAAGTGATAGAACGAAGCGGATATCTCCAGTATTTTCCGAATTTAGTATTTTCCCATAGGCTTAACATTACGACGTAATGACCTCTAACTGACCTCAGGTCAGTGACCTCAAAAAACGCGAGCTATATGTTATACAACTCGGTGACCTTAGCACATCCTGAAAGTTTGAAGGAAATCAGTGCAAAACTGTGAGTTGGACAGGTGCAAAAAGAAAATTGAAATTTGACCATGACCTTGTACCGGTTTTTCTGACCTGGTGACCTGACCCAAGGTCACCCGGACCTGAAATTTTTAGGTCATATGTAAAAAGGTTGCCCCATAGGCTGTGCCAAATTTGGCGGCGCTGCGCGCCGCCGTTTTTACGCTATCTTCGAAAAACCTTAGGGGGGTCGCATCGACCCCCCCTGCCAGGGCGAGGGTTAAAGGTAAAAAATAAATTTCATATAAAAATACATAATTTATACTAGACGAAATGCCCACTAGACTTTTTACAGTTTGTTAAACGTCTAGACGTTTAACAAATCAGTTAAACGACATCTGATAATTTTCTCTCCTATCACGTGAAGCAAGCAGTACGGGATAAACTCGTTTAACTGACCCAACTACATAACATTTATCGTCACAAAACGGTAAATGTTAAAGGGACTGTCCCAACTTTGCATTAGTTCTGAGTTGAGATAGCCAAGTTGGCGGCCAGGTTCAGAAACCACTGTAGGGGAAGCGGGGGGAGCACCGCCACCTTAAGCATTTCTGCTCACCGAGCTGATATGCGTAGTAAAAACGAAACTCTTTTGCATTCATGTGAAAGTAGGAATGTTTTCCTACATGTTGGCATAGTTTCCAGCGCTCCATTATAAAATTTCGCTACTTTACAGACATTGAAAACAAGTCCTGCATTTTCCGTCCTCCAAAAAATGTGCGGGTAGCACCGCCACTGATGGCGATGTTATCCACAGATCGGCCTTACGGTGACAGCCACCCTTGGAAGCGTTACTGCTGTCTGAAATAGTAACTCAAACTCATATAAGACACACAAGAGTTGGTTGTTTGTTTGTCACAGATCAGACTGTTTGTTACGGACAATATGCATACAAAGCATGACAAATTCACGTTTATTTCGGAACATCCAGTGAAGTCAAACGTGAGGTTAAAAAACAGACGACGTTTGCGGCCTAACTAAAGCTCTTCTCCGAGCTGAGTGAATCATCATTGCTGCTTTATCCATTTTGCCACCCCTTGGGGTAGCACCGCCGAGCATGGCGGTGTTACCCCAGACACAGTCATGGACCGACAACGCCCCGACGGGAAAACAAGCCGGGACGCGATTCTTCTGTAATTCCTTTCTCAACGAAGAGCACTTCATGCCCTCAAATTTAACGTAAAAATCAAGGCATTTTGACTTGAAATGACCACTTACTTGCTGCTAAAACATGCCAAATGATTACAACGATTGTTTGAAATTCACAAAATGGGCAATTGCGATCTCAAAATCAAATAAATCTTAGCGAAACCTACCTCACGCGGCGTCCCGTTTCCGTTCGGACACCGAAATGGCGGGTGTTTACATTTACAATTCAGAGTTTTGCTGATAGAGAGGATGGCGGTGTTTCCCACATGGCGGTGCTACCCCCGCTTCCCCTATATCCTGGTCGCAATATCCTCAGTTTCGTGGTGTTAAAGAAATTCGTTCCCTTCATTTGAAAAGTGGGCCTTAGCTAAGGCCCTATCTCTTAACTATTAACGGCCATTTGATGACGTCATTTGCATTTTGAACGCCTTTCACGCATGTGAAGTTTCACTTGATTTACGAATAAGCTAATCAGAGACACTTGTTATTGTATGAGCCGCGTCATATTTGAGAGCAAATACCTATATTTGCTGCCAAATTCCCCCCACATTGACTTCAAGTAAATCCTTCATTACGTCAGAGACCCGATCTAAATGACGTCACGATGAAATATAAAAGTCGCAATATCTCAAAAAGTATACAATGAAAACGCGTAAAAACTTGCAGAATTCGTCACAATATCATGAGTAACATTTCCGAATCCTAAATGGTACTTTTTTGAAGGTGGGATAGTCCCTTTAACCCGCGCCCCGTAGGGGGGGGGGGGCAAAACGCCTCCTGTCCTTTTCCGTCGATATCACCTAAACGACTGCAGCTATCGTCACCAAACTTCCAGAACCCCTTTGGGCATCAATTTTACACATTGTGACTCAAAACGAATCCAGAGGCTATGATAGGATGGCCGCAATTGACGTCAGAATGCTATCCAACGCCGTTTGAATTTTGAAAATCAGCCGGTAACTTTCCGAGATCGTAAGGGGGAGTCGAAACGCCCTCCCCCCTTACTTGTGGTAGGGTCCGCCGATAGCCCTACGGGGCCCGGTTGAACCCTCGCCAGCACAGGCCATTTTGCGTACTTCGACGGCACAAGGGCTGGTACTTGGTATGCCCCCCCCCCCCTTCCCTACGCGTTTGGCCCCTGATCGAGCTAAAGCTTCGCCTAAAACGAGCGTGCTGCCCGTGACGAGAGGAAGCCGATAATACCCGATTTTAAGGTCCTAGGTTGGTCATCAATTGACCTTCCAGGTCAGGTCAATGACCCAAAAGTCGGGAAAATCGGGACCTGCTAGAACGTCGTAAAGTGTGGCTACTATTGGGTTTTCGGGGTGCTGATCACGAATATCATGTTAATTTTGATCACAGATGATGTCTTTATGCATTTAGGCCAGGTAGGGTCAGGTCAGGTCAGGTCAACCAGTAGAGGTTCTGCCGGTTATTCGTAGTACATACGTGTCAACCGCTTCTGACAGCTCCGTAACATGTTACGAAGGCACAAAACCACTTCATAAATGTTCATATGGTTGCTAAATTCTAATTCAGCTCCAAAAACTAGCCTCGAAACACGTAAAACTCGGAAAAATGGGCCGAGTTCATCAAAGGTCAATGACCTGACCTGACCATCAGGTGACCTTGACATCCACCGTAATGCATGGGAGCAACAACAAATCACATGTTTGA